CCACTGACAGAACTAAATGAATGAATAAATGAATAAATAAATAGCGGTGCATATGCATGAACATGAAATTCAGTCCCTGCTTTCCTAAGAAAACTCCACCTTGAATCAGCCTGCCTGGAAGAAGGCCACCATCTTGTGGTTAAAAGACTAAGTGCAGGCTACACAAAGAAGACAACAAAATTATCTATGCTTAACCAAAACATTAATAAATTCCTCAACTATCTAAAGGTTCTTATTCTTGTTCATACTGGAAGGGTTTTAATCTTTCAAGAACAGTGCTCTGTATCAGAATTAATATGGTATGAAAACACATCTCTAGATGAATCTCATTTATATTCTAATATTGATTTTTAAAAGGATAGGCCACGACAGATATCACTTAAGCTTTATCATGTTAAAGCTGCAATGGTACACAAAGGCACTCAGAGGCAGGTAGCTTTCTGTGAGTTTGAGGCTGCCGGATCTACAGACCAATCCGAGACAACCTTCTCAAAAAAATCAAACAAAGGGGAAAAAAAAAAAAACCGACAAACAAAAAGCTGTCGATTTCTTTGAAAATAACACTGGCTCTCCTGAAACAGAACATGAAAGTTTTCAGCAGCAACATTCAAAATAGCCAATAAAGAGTAATCAACCAAAAAAATCCATCAACAAACCAATGGACACAGTTGATTCAATAATGGATCATTGCTCAACCATAAAAGAGGCAAGACTGTCATACACACCATAGAGTATCATAAATGAACCTACCTTAAAAAAGAGAACTCACCAGGTGTGGCAGCATGTCTTGGAGGCAGAGGCAGGAAGATCTCTGTGAGTTCAAGACCAACCTGGTCTACACAAGGCAAAAACAAGAACACACCTCAATAAAATAAGCCACTCATAGAAGACTATAGTTATATGAATGTAGTAGTAAAATATGAGCAAAGGATAAACAGTGGATGGTTAAGTAGGACAAGCAAGACGGTAGGAGGGAAGTTAAGGTAAGAAAGAGAAAGGGAAAAAGAAGTGGGAGGGAGATTCTCTTTAGTCTACAAAACCCAGTCAGTCTCCTAGACAAGAAACACCCAGAGTCAACAGCATTCCCTTTTTCTTTGGTCCCTCTCTACATAGCTGCCTGTGTATCTCCCCAGTAATGCTGATGCTTCTCCAAAACAGAAAGATAAAGATATATACTGCAAAGATTTCATAAATTTAAAAAAGGAGTTACTTCTCTAAGTAATTCAACATTGCTACCATTTTTAAAGATAATCCATGGGGTTAGAAAGATGGCTCAATGGTTGTGAGCATGTGTTCTCCCAGAAGACCCAAGTTCAGTTCCCAGTACCCACATGGTGGCTCACAACCCTCCATTACTTTAGTACCAGGGGATCCAACACCCTACAAGTGATCTACAGACACA